GGTCACGGGCTACCACGGGACTGCATTCTCTTACGTTGCTCCACTGTCTTGTGAATTAGACCCGGGTGGGGCTCCCTAAGAAAACCACGTGCTTTTATCTGGGCATCCGGGGAGTATCCCAGTCCTCACATAAATCTAGTGTCTGGTGGCCCATGTCTGTTTGTTGCCTCCTTGTACCAATGTTTATGTGTTTAAATAATAATAATACTGAACAAGAAATAGTATTTACTAGGTAAATGAAAAAGATTACCCGACTTCCATAGACATTTTTTTGGAATGATATTACCCCTGTCATGCACATCAACACACAGAAAGTTACTCTGACTTATTGACTTACTTTTATCAGTTATTATTATTATTTATTATTTAAACACAAACATTGGTACAAGGAGACACCAAGTAGATATGCGCCACATAAATCATTCGATTTGTGTGAGGGCTGTGATACTCCCCGGGTGCCCAGACCGAAGCAGGTGGTTTTCTTAGGGGGCCACAACCCGAGCCTTTGACCTAAAGGTCTGATCCACAAGGCAGTGGAGCAACGTAAGAGAATGCAGTCCCGTGGTAGCCGGTGACCAATGATTGGTTCATATGCCATTTGTTCCCGCAGGATACTGGAGCCCATGTGCATCATTGGTTTGGAATCCTGTTAAAGCGCCGGACATTCGCTTTTCGTCCTCTCACTTTCGTAAACAACAGTAATGCCACGAGAAGGCAGTGAGTAGGACTTTCCTGGCAGAGGCTGTATACGCGTGGCCGTGTGAGAGTATTTCGAAACGGAGGACGGGCCCACCCCACTCTCGGCCATACCAGGGCATTTGGGGGCCGTGTGTCGTCGGCTTGCCGGCGACCATACCACGTTTTATCAGTTACCCCAGTTATATTCCTACTTTAAATTTATTATCGTGTTTCAGGATGATAGGCGATCCAAATCTTTTCAGATACGTATTACGTATGCCGAACCACCTCATACCTTGACACCCGATATTGGCTGGTGTAGAGGTAGGTTGAAAAAAAAAGTTAATAGAAACACCCAAAACCAGACACAACATACGTCTATGAAATCATTGACTGTTGGTCTAAGTTATATTAGTAGGTTCAGACCATCTGGTTAGGATATGTTCAAACATCGAAACCAATGGTATGAGACGTTAAATGGCGTGCTTAGTCACAACGCCACAGAAGCATCCACTCTTTGTCTTCCTTTAGACCTTGAGTTGTAAAATTCTTATACTTTTATCATACCGATTTATATCCTATAATCACCTGTGTGGCTGGTCTGTTCACTAAAACTGATAACACTACTTCTAGATAATTTCATGTCTCTGTAATGATGTATTATGACTAATTGAACTGATATACATATGTTCCAGGTTCTATGTTGCTTATGACTGACTGATTAAACGTTACTCCGTCTAGTTCAGTTTGGACAGCCGATTCGTATCATTAGCTCTCAAAACCAATATACCTTAAAGGTGCACTGAGTGAATGTGTTGTTTTAATAGATGGTAATAAAGAAATTCCACTGATTACGTATATGTTGCATTTCATCAATATTATTTGTAAACTGCATGCAAATTAGCTATTAAACTATTTTTTTCTTAAAGAAAAAGTAGTAATTTCTTCTATATTTCAGTCCTTCACGAAAAGAAGTTGCCGCATCTATTAAAGCTACAACTGATCCAATAAAATTATTATCGGAAACTGAATTAGCAGCTAACATAGCACGTCTTCAATTAGTTAGGAAAGAACGTGAATTAGCAGCTCAAAAACTTGAACAAGAAAAACAAGGTAAACTATAATTTGTACTTTTACATATTATTCAGACAGTATACAATTGTGAGTATAGTTTTTAAAATGTAAGTTATATATATAGAAAGAGTAGAAAAAAAGGACACCTCGTAGTTTAGGTATTCCCCTAAATCATTGAGTAGTTTTTGTATGATAAGATTAATTGTTTATCGAATTGTATTAAAGCTCAGAAAAAGTTCTCAGTCGTCAAGCTAATTACTGTTAGTAGTGAGAGCATGCATCAGTCAGTCAGCTACGGCGTAGGATCAGGCATATATATGCATCGATACAAGTTGTCATACCTCATTAGCACTAGATGAACACCGGATTCATGAGAGTAGTTAATTCAATAGTGGTAATATATAAAAGAAAGATTACATATAAGGATATAGCACTGGAAGAAAGAATTAGTTCGTAAAAAGACGGGTATAAAGCGATTTTAATCTCATTAAGGGAAAACAGAGAGTGTATACACCTACGCCATTGTGATCGATTCCGAGCCATGTTCACACACAGTCTACAACCATTGGTTACGATAGTCACCGCCCTCATACCTCTAACAGCACCCAAGACCACTGTATTCATAATCAACCTCTGTTAGCGGGACATAGACTAGATTACAGCATGCTCAATGCATGATTGCTTTGGTGCACGCTGATTGGCTAATTCTTATCCAGTCAGCACTAGTCGATAGTTGGAGAATATTCTGGAATCTTCTTATGTAAAAAACTATAAATATACTGACGTTTTCCCTATTGTGCTTCTGACTTGCTATTTGGAATATAATCTTTTTCCTGTTCAACCGTGTTCTGATTTGGGGACTTGTCGAGTGAATCTGTGTCCGAGAATACTAAGCAATAGGAATAGCTGGGCCATCAACCGTAAGAAGCAGAGTTATAACAACCTCCCTCTTCAATTCCTATTATTCCTCCTACATCGACTTTCAACTTTAAATTTCCTCTCTCGGCTTCCACCTCAAGTGTCACCATAGCCAACGATTCTAGTGCGCAAAACACTGTCCCAGGTCTACTGAAACCTCGCTCCAAACTACACATTGGAGCCTTCAACGTACGCACCCTATGTCAAATCGGTCAGCAGGCTTCCTTGGCTAAAACCCTAGATTCTCTTTCCATTGATGTATGCTGTGTCTCCGAAACACACATACAGGATTCCAGTGTGGTTATTCACTTGACCTCACCTCGGCAAAACGGAGAGCCAACAAGATACACCCTTCGTGTATCTGGTGACCCGATGGCAAGTTCTCGTGGACTGTCAGGTGTAGGCATAGCACTAAGCATGAGGGCGGAACAAACACTGCTAGAGTGGATCCCCGTCAACAGTCGTCTATGTGCTGTTCGGCTGAACGGCTACGTAAGAACTCGGAAGGATAGGGACACACGTCGTTGCCTTTTTGTCGTTTCTGCCTACGCTCCCACTGCAGCTCAGATGAAGTGAAAGATGAATTTTACAGAAAGCTGTCCGAACTTCTTCAGAAAGCTAAACGCTCAGACATAGTGCTCGTAGCAGGTGATTTTAATGCTCAAATAGGTAGCTTAAACCAAACAGAAAGGCATTTAGGTGGATATTTCAGTGTTCCGACACAGCGAACAGATAATGATGATCGTCTGCTGCAGCTATGCTCAGACAATCGTTTATTTTTAGCAAACACAAATTTTAAGCATAAGGAGAGACATCGTCTAACATGGCGACCCCCTACACCAAACCAACGATGGACTCAAATAGACCATATTGCCATCAGTCATCGTTGGAGAGGGTCGGTAGAAGATTGTCGCTCATTCTGGAGTGCCTGCTTGGACTCCGACCATGCCCTAATACGGGCACGCATCTGCTTGCGCCTCACTGGACGCAAAAAAGCCACATTAAAAAGACCCGTTAGGACTGAGTTGAGTAACGAGAAAACCAAAAGTAGGTTCCAGGAACAACTGAGGTCACACTTAGGTAGTTGTGAAGACGAGGCTGACCCAGATGTTGCTTGGAAAGATATACAAACAGCTGTGGAAGCAGCAACGACATCTATTAGCGACTTAAACCACAGAGTTTCAAAGAACCAGTGGATTTCTTCAAAGTCTATCACACTGATGGATTCTCGCAAACTCGTCCCATCAGGTTCCGAACATGATGAAGAGCGACAACAAATCAGATCTAGGTTAGGAAAAAAATTCGGAACGACCGTGAGTAGTGGTGGGCAACGAAAGCAAAAGAGATGGAAAAGGCGGCGGCTATAGGGAACACAAGACAGCTCTACAGACTAATAAAAGAAACTGGAATTAATAAGTCAAGTGTAAGTGAGATTATATCAGAAAAAGGCGATACTCTCATCTGCTCCCAGTCCAGACGTTTAGAATGATGGGCGGAACATTTCAGAGAACAGTTCAACTGGCATTCAGCTACTCTACAACTACCCTCCATTCCCAGACAGTGTGAATGGAACATTGAAGTAGGTCCCCCTACTCTTGCTGAAGTTCAAAAGGCTATAGTTAATCTGAAACGAGGAAGGGCAGCTGGTCCAGATGGATTGGCTCCAGAGGTATTTAAGGATGGTGGTCCAATTTTAGCGATTAGGTTGACTAATATTTTAGCTAAGATCTGGGAATTAGACTTTATCCCATCTGACTGGTCGCAATCACTTATCGTCCCAATATATAAGAGAGGGTCAAAATCATCCTGTGACAACCACAGAGGGATTAGTTTAACAAACATAGTATCTAAAATACTGGCCTCGATAATTATCAAACGCCTAACTAAGACTCGTGAACTACAAACTCGAGAGAACCAAGCTGGCTTTAGACCTGGTCGTGGCTGCATCGACCACATATTCACCATTCGTCAGGTTCTAGAACACAGGCATACCTATCGGCGTCCGACGATGGTGGTCTTTCTTGACTTAAAAGCAGCATTTGATTCTGTAGACCGCGAGACTCTGTGACAGTGTCTGTCATTGAAAGGCGTACCTCAGAAGTACATAAACCTTGTGAAGGCTCTTTACTCGAACACTACTAGTCGAGTCAGGGCTTATGGCGAACTGTCATCTACTTTTGCAACTTCAAGTGGTGTCCGTCAAGGCTGTCCGCTTTCTCCATTTTTGTTTAACTTCATCATAGACCTATTGATGGAAATAACACTCTCGTCGACTGAATTCTCGGGTATTGATCTCCTTCCAGGAGGTCCACTTATCGACTTAGAATACGCAGATGACATAGTCCTGTTTGGTGAAGACGCTGACAAAATGCAGAGTCTTCTGGTAGCACTAAGCAACAATGCCAGAATGTTTGGGATGCGCTTCTCTCCCTCTAAATGCAAGTTGTTGCTTCAGGACTGGTCTGCGTCAACACCTGAACTAAGGATAGGGAGTGAAGTAGTCGAACGCGTCGACAACTTCACTTATCTTGGAAGTCTGATCAGCCCTAATGGGTTGGTGTCTGACGAAATCTCAGCACGGATTCGAAAAGCTCGTTTGGCGTTTGCCAACTTACGCCACCTTTGGCGGAGGCGAGATATCCGTCTATCAATAAAAGGACGAGTATACTGCGCGGCAGTCCGTTCTGTCTTACTTTACGGCAGCGAAACATGGCCTTTAAGAGTGGAAGACACTCGTAAGCTACTAGTATTTGACCACAGATGCCTTAGAAATATTGCTGGCATCTGCTGGGATCACCGGGTAAGTAATAGTGAGGTTAGACGCAGGGTATTAGGGAATGATGGTAAATCAGTTGATGAGGTTATGAATCTTCATCGACTGAGATGGTTGGGCCACGTATTACGTATGCCTGAACACCGATTACCACGACGTGCAATGCTAACCGGTGTAGGGGATGGTTGGAAGAAAGTTAGGGGCGGCCAAACCAAAACGTGGCATCAGTGCCTGAAGTCACTAACTTCTAGTCTGAGCCATGTTGGTAGATGCAGACTACTTGGTTGGGGTCCGCGTGACTTTCGTAACCAATGGTTGGAGACTCTTGGTGACATGGCTCAGAATCGATCACAATTGCGTCGGTGTATACACTCTCTGTCTTCCCTTAAACTAAGAGATTAAAATCACTTCATATCTTTCTTTCTACGAACTAATTCTTTCTTCCTGTACTGTATCCTTATTGCAACCTTTGACCTAACCACTCCTATGAATCCGGTGTTCATCTTTTTGTGCTGATGCGGTATGGCAACCTGGACCGATGCACATATGTGCCTGGTCCTACGTTGTAGCTGACTGACTGACTGAACACGACCCAACCATCTCAGTCGATGAAAATTCACCTCATCAACTGGTTTACCATCATTCCCTAATACCCTGCGTCCCAGCAGATGCCAGCAATATATCTGAGGCATATCTGTTATTATTATATTATATTATCATATTTGTTTAAACATATAAATATTAGTACAAAGGGGCACCGAATAGATACGCACCACACAAGTCACTTGATTTGTGTGTGGGCTGTGATACTGTCCGGGTGCCCAAACCGGAACAGGTGGTTTTCTTAGGGAGCCACACCCGGAGCCTTCGACCTAAAGGTCCGGTCCACATGGCAGTAGAGCGACGTCAGATGCAGTCCCATAATAGACGGTGACCAGTGATTGGTTCATACACCATCCGTTCCTTCAGAATCCTGCAGCTCATATACACCATCGGTTTGTAATCAGGGTTTCCCAACTCCCCTAAGTGGACCCTCCGTGTCTACCAACCCGGTTAGAGCCGGACATTCGCTTTTTTCCCTCTCGATTTCGTAAACAGTAATGCTGCGAGAAGGCAGTGAGTAGGACTTCCCTGTCAGTGGCTGTATACATGCGGCCATGTGAGAGTATTTGGAGAGGGGACTCTCCTCACCCTCGGCCGTACCAGGGCATGTGGGGGCTAGATATGTCATGCAAGTTTCCGACTAGTGATTAGGCAGATACCAACCAGATATTTTTCACCTACCAATACAGCTTAGTCCAAGTCAATGAACCCATTGATTAGTGCCATGTTTTGGTTTGGCCGCCCTTAGTTTTTTTTTCCGACGTGCCCCTACACCGGATGATATTGTACGCCAGGGTAAAACGTCGTTGGAAAGGCATAATGCTTATCCTGACCGCCTCATTCGGTGATAATGAACTGACTTTCAACCTAAGATTCCTATTTTGTAGACCACAATCCACTTTTTCCAGTAGTTAGGAAATAACAACTCGTTAGGTCCCTATATGTATATATTTAATAATCCTAAAAGTTTATACATGCAATATATTCTTCCATGTAAAACTCGTTTTATTTCATACCATACGAGTATTTAAAATAATGTTGTTTATGTTTCCTTAATCTCACAATCTTATCATCATTTAGCCCGTGAAGCACAGCGTGCAGCAATCGCTGCAGCCAAACGTACATCTCAGACAAAACCACAACAGAAAAGTGGTCGTAGTGGTAAACAACATACTAAAAGTAACAAAGAACATCAAATAGTCAATCAAAGAAACAATACAAACTCATCAGTACTCACCGATGATAACTGATCGATTAATTGGTTGGTCAATGATCATATTGTTCCCAAGTCTATGCTTGTCTGATGACTCAAATATAAAGATGAGGAATAACAACTATGTTGCAAAGTTGACACACATATTCACCTTTTCGTTTGATAAAAAAAATACTCAAACAAATCCAACTATTCTTATTCTTTTCGATACATGCCATAAAACTGTTTTAGATTACGTTCTCTGTTATTTGACTTTCTGTATTAATAACAGGAAAAGTTAATTCATAAATTGTATACTTTTTATCCAACATGCTCTTTTATACATTTTAATAACTAGATAAAACATTTATATATATACAGCTGTATTCATGTATGGTTGTATTAAGCTTGATAATACCTTCAATGAGCTTTTGGAGCAAATGCTTGTTTGTGTGTATAGTGCAATCACTAAGTAAAGAATTTCAAGATTTAACGCAGTATAGCGAATACAAAATGATAAGTGGTTTTCATGAAATTATGAATGGTTGGGACGTGCCACATGTATCTGATTCTATAGCCTACCTTAATATACTATGCTGGCAAGTGTAGAATTAACTTAGAGAAGACCAGAAATGGTTAAATGAAGAATGGATCAGTCTATGAATTTACTGACTGTTTTTGTCTCATTTGTGTTGGTCAATTTAAAGATCCTAACGAGGATGCGTGAGATAAAAAGGATCTTGGACTTAGATTTTCCGTCAGTGAAAGAATAAACTGTTTCATTAGGCAAGAAGTGTATTATATTTAGAACTGATTTTTATTATCTCTTCCTCTCGTTGTCTATCTTTCCTAACATCACGTTCGAGTGATACAAATTTTTGGTTTCAAACTCTGACAGCTTTTTCTCTTAGTTTTACCATCCCCATCCCCCAATTGACCTACTTGAAATCGTAATAACTCAATAATCAAGCGTCTCAACTGGACTAAATCATCGCATTACAGTGAAATCTGACCATCATGTGCATTAACAGATTATGTCAAGTCAGTTAATTTTAGTCATAGTTATGAATATACTTGTTGTAAGGACGACATTCCCTGGTTTTTCTTTGCATTAAATAAAGCTTGAGTTCTTCACGTGTAAATGTTAGGTCAATTAGAAATTGCGTGATTAAAAAATTTAACCAGCAAGCCGAATTATAACAAACATTGATATCTTTAAGACTCACAGGATACCGTTGAATGATGTATTCAATTGTGGTGATTGTTTCTTCTCAAATAAAACCTTAGTAACATAATTGAGGAACGTATACTCGTCTGTATTTATAGTACGTCATAATCTTGTACTTAGTGCGTATAATCACATGAATTGTAAGTTTGGAGAATACAATACAGTGAGTTGTTTGTCCGATCTTCCTGGCGTTCTGATTGATGATTAAAATTGCAGTATCGCGTGGACTATCCAACCGCTTTAGCATATACATTAACGGCGTTAACTGGAATATAGTATAGAAAAATTTGACAAACCCTACTGCATATATACTACCAAGTGAAGATAGTCCCGTTGAAATTGGTGTAAGTTATAATCCTGGTCCCAGTGAACACATTTTATTTGAAGAATGCAACATTTTTGTTGTTATTACAAAACAGAGCATTCCGGAACACCTTTATTACCATCCACAGAAGAAAGAGACTAGCTGATGAATGTTTTCAAGTTTTATTTTTTAACTAGCCTATTTGAAACTTTGAGAAAAGTCTCATCACAACATAATCCCATAGAATACACTGCTTTAATTCAAAGAAAATAAACCTTGAATATATCCATGTGATTTTCACCCGAGAAAACCCAGTTGGACAAATTAGATCCATTGTAGTATCACCTACCATGTTAAGTCCATATACCTTGTACCAGCTTCTGGACAGGCTAATTTATCCGTTATTGTTGAGTCACGTTTTGACCTTGTTGATTATTCACTTACCAACCCTAATAGTTTTTATATGAGCGTATGTGTGTATACACACCTTATCCTATTCACCACATGTCTGTAACCTATTTTTACCTGGCTATGAATATTGATTGAATCGAGTTGGTTCACATGCCTTCTCCACTCTGCATGTCATTTCACGTCACTCTCTACTCTTTATTTCGTCTCGTTGATTGCCTGTTCAAATCACTGAGTGCATAAAATACACATAATCAAAATCCATTGTTCGTATTAGGCTTATTTAATTCCGTTATATTCACTAACGCGAATTAAGTCGATAATCATATACGAGAAAAGTTAGGATGTATATTTTGACAGCAATCATTCATACGATCTACTTAGAGTCAGATCCCGGACCACTAAAGCGTAACAAATGAAAAAAAGTACAGTAGTATGTGTAGTTGATGAATAAAGTCAAAAACCCTATTATCTAGAAAGTACAAATTTGAACATGTCTTTTGCAAACTAATGCGTAACTAATAGTCGGATCCAAGAAATAAGTATACTTTTGTGCGAAACTTCTTGGTTAAATTTTTCTTGCACTCTGATGTTGGTGTTCACATCACACTGAAACTTGGAATCAGTAGTATTTACAAGTTAAAACACCGTAACACATTAACCACTATTTATTCATTAAGTTACGAATTCACGAAAATCAAATCACAAAATACCACCAACGAAGAAATACCAGATTGTTATAATCAAAATAAAAACGGAATTTATTTTGTAAACTGTACAACAATTTATTTTTTTTTGATTACCGAAATCAGTCATTTAGTGTCGAGATATTCATGATCACATTTTATTTTTTGTCAGTAATAGGATCGAAATGCTTTTTTACTGCTTCGTGGAATAGAAAGACTGGAAATACGTAAACGACAGAACGATGAACTACAAAAAAATGATAGAGAAAGTTTATAAATAGTATTCTTTTCAGTAAATAATGAGGACAATGAAGTGACGAAAATCAAAATGCACCGTATTTTGCGTAAACATCGACTGGTTACCCAAGCTTTGATAAGGATCTGTTGATAGAAATTTTAAATGGTTCAACTAACAGATGAGCGCTTACTTTAGTTAACATTTAGTCTAACCTCAACCAAGTGGCGCGCGAGACTGAAGGCTCTGGGTTCGAATCCCGCGGGAGGGATCGTGGATGCACACTGCTGAGGAGTCCCACAATAACATGAAGCGGCCGCCCAGTGGTTCCAGGTTTTCAATGGTGGTCTAACACCAATCGGTTTATGATCTGAATCAAAAGTTTAATAATCTCCGCAACCCTATACTGACAATAACATTTTTAATGGTTTGAAATAGGCTCGATTTATTCTCTATTCCTTCGCTCTATATGACCAATCAAAAACGTCGTTTTCCAGACGTTTAACCAAGAATTTACGTTCAAAATATACTGTGATTGCTTGAATTTAGTAATAAATTGTTATTCTTATTCCTCCAATCATGTTACCTCATATGCATATTTAAAACAGATAATCTATTTAGAGAAATGTTTGTGGTTGTTGGATTCCCAACAGAAAACCAGTTTGTTAGACCAGTTCAAATAATCAAAAATGTAAATATATTTTCAATGAAAATGTAATGGTATATGAAATAAAACAACTATATATATATCAGGGGTTTTGTGGAAATTTTAGTAATTTCAATTGTTGAGATCATGAGTCAATTGAAGCTAAGTGCTCACACACAAGATCAGTAGGTCCTGGGTTCGAATCCCGCGGGGCGGGATCGTAGATGCACACTGTTGAGGAGTCCTACAATTGGAAGAAACGGCCGTCCAGTGCTTCCAGGTTTTCCATGGTGGTCTAGCTTTAATTGACTTATGATCTCAACAATTGAAACTATCTCTATGTAAAGTTAACCAATTACACATTCTAGGTTATATATTCTACACCTCATTTAAATGGCTTTGGAATTAATGAAGAACAATAAGAATACAGACTTTCTAGTAGTGAATGATTATACATCCAGAAAAGAGAAATTAATTCACAACAAGAATATTTAGAGAAGTATAGAAAATCGTACGGGGAAGTGTGTATGTCGCACTGTTATACGATATGTGAATTTATTACAAAACACCCAACAGAACACAATTAATGTATAAATGTAAAAATGAAGTCGATAGAATGAAAGATCAATCATCTTCCTCAATAGAAGCGGTATATCAGATAGTGGCTACATCAGTGTCAATTATACATTCAGTATGAAATTCACTAAACATTTCTAAGGCATTTTTTCAAAAATCTCTCTAAAATAGATTATCCCCCATCTGTTTAAAATAGACATATGAGGTAACATGACTGCAGTAATAAGAGTAACAAATTTTTACCGAATTCGAGCAATCACAGTATATTTTGAAAGTAGACTCTTCATTAGACATCTAGGAAGCGACGTTTTGGATTGATTGTATAGATCGAAGAGATAGGAGGATAAATCAAGCATATTTCAAATCATTAAAAATGTTATTCCCTCTTTCAATGCTCATCTTTATTAGCATGTGCTTTTTTGGTGGTTGCCCTCATGAATATGCGCCTTCTTTCACTTGTCCTTTTGATAGTCACCCATCTGAATGGATACCGTTCAAACGTCGTTTTGCAATTACTATCCTACTGTTAGGTTCAAAAATTTCGCCAAGAATTGTCAGGTTTGCTCAAAGCAGTGCTTGCATCTACAATGAACACCTTTAGTGAATAAAAATGAAGATAGTTCGTAAAGCCCTAAGCATAGAAGACAAATTGAAAGAAAGTCGGTGCAAAACTTCACCAACTAAGAGGTGGTTAGAACCTTAATCATTTCTTCTTATCCGGGTGACCCATTTTCCAAGTATAGATGGTTCATATATTTGGTTTTGAGTAGTACCTTAGGTGTGAGGACTAAATTGACAATTTCCGTCTGCGCAAATCGAAGTGCCAAACAGAGATCTAACCGGTGAACTAGTGGAGAAACGTCGAATAATTATGCCATCAAGGCATCATACTCCACTTAATCCGACGAGTAGCAATGATCAGCTTAAAAGTTATGTGACAATCACACTACGGACGACCTAAGACATAATACAGATGTAAATGTAAACCAATGGATGCTGATTCAGTAGTCTAGGAACGAAGCGTACGCCGCGAAACCTGGAGATCTTGGACTCAGATTTAGCCGTGGTCATGGTTGCCAACCACTGGAGTCGACTGAGATATAAACTCAAAATTCCTGAACAAAATGATCAAATTCGATACTTAACTATGAAACACGCATTCTATACACAATGTACTAATAAAAAACAAACCAATTTTAATGTGAAGTAGTAAAGAAATATCCATACTTATTACTATTTACCACACTTTGAGAACTTACCTTAATCTCATAAATATTACAGAATAATAAGTCAATAAACCAGATGTTACGATAAATGCAGTGAGTAATTTTTCCCATACAGAAGTCTGAATCTTTGATATGAAAAAAAGAGTACAGAACAAGTACATTATTAAGTAATTAGTAAAAAATCCCAATTTAATGAACTGACGAAACGGACATCCAGTGCTTCCAGGTTTTCAATGGTGGTCTAACACTGATCGATTTAAGATCTCAATTAAAAGCCAACAGTCTGAACAACTCTATACTGATAATTATCATATGCTCACTAGTGACCAGCTTCCAGAGATAATTCTCCAAGTTCTAAAGAAAAGCCGCGACCAGTGGAGTTTAACCGTGTCGGATGTGAGGCATTTCGCCAACGAAGATTATGTAAGGAGGTTGAGCAATATTGTAGATTGGTTAAATTGCGACAATAACAGCGTCGAATGACGTCTTAGCGGTCTAGAGTTTGGGTATTCTTGTACCAGACTGAAGGTGCCGGGTTTCGACCTCCCCTGCCAACAACACCCTCACTTTCATCACACTGCTCAGGTTTGTGCAGTGTATTTCGACAGTTAGCATATGATCTATCACTACCAGGCATCATATTGATCGATTGATGATCTGAATGATGAAATTAGTCAACAATCTCCACAACCCTATACTGATATTTATTATGTGCTGGCTGACCAGTGACTAACTTGGAGAGGTGGATCTCGGAGTTGTAGTGAGAAGCTGTGACCAGTGAAGGTAACCCATGTGAGGTGTGAGGCAGTTAGCCACGGAAGACAATGTGGTCGGACAATATCGTGGATGCGCACTGCTAAGTGGCCCCTTACTAGGACTAAGCGGCGGTCCAGTGCTTCCAGGTTTCTAATGGCGGTCTAACGTTGATCATTTCATTATCTCAATTAAAAGTTCCACATATCTGGGCAGCATATTCGATAAACAAGGAGGAACTTGTGCAGATGAAAAGGCAAGGATTGGCAAAGCAAGGACAGCATTCCTACAACTGAAGAACATATGGAACTCAAAACAACCGGCAACCATTATCAAAGTCAGAATATTTAATACGAACATCAAGACAATTCTACTGTACGCAGCTGAAACTTAGAGAACTATTACAGCCATCACCAAAAAATACAACTATTTATAAACAATTGTCTACGCAAGATTCTTAATATCCGCCGCCGAATTGCCTGGTACGAACGAGGCTGCGAAGTCCGCTCTCCCTCTCGAAATGCTCCCACATGGCCACGCGTATACAGTCACTGCCACGGAAATCCTACTTACTGCCTTTTCGAGGCACTACTGTTGTTCATGAAATTGAGAGGAGGGAATGCGAATGTCCGGCGCTTTAACCGGGTTGGTGGACACGAAAGGTTCGCCTAGGGGAGTGGGGAAACCCTGATTCCAAACTAATGATGTATATGGGTTCCAGGATCCTGAGGGAACAAAAGGCGCATAGACCTATTGTTAGCCACCGGTTACCATAGGACTGCATCTCTTTACGTTGCTCCACTGCCTTGTGAATCAGACGCATATGAATTTGGTGCCTCCTTGTATTTTATTGGCCCGGGATCTGACTCTAATTAGATCATATGTTGATCGCTATCGAAATATATATGTCACGTATTCTCGTATATAATTATCGACTTAACTCGCTTTAGTGAATAACGGAATTAAAATAAATACGAGAAAGAATTTCGAATACGTATATTTTGTACAATCATTGATCTAGGCAGACAATTAGCGGGACGAAGCGAATAGAGGAGAGCGAAACGAAATGACGCGCAGTGGAGAAGGCATGTGAGCCAACTCCATTTAGCCAAGCGTTAATCAATATTTATAGTCAGATGATGATGAATAGAATAAGAAGTGTACACACATATGCGCTCATATAAAAACATTCACGGTTGATAAGTGAATAATTAACAAGGTCAAAACATGACAGAAGAAGAATGGATAAATTGGCTTGTCCAGAAGCTAGAATAAGTTATATGGGCTTAACTAGTAAACAACACTATAGTACCAATGTTTGTCTTTAAATAAATAAATAATATCTGTTGGCCAGATATCACCAGCTTAACCTACTATGGATGAGAACAAACCAACTACCAACTAAAGAGGAAATTAAGAAAAACGCTGGAGGTGGATATGACAGATTACGGATAACAGGAAAGGATTCCCCGGGACAGAGATCGATGGAGAATGCTAGGGAGCAGACTTTGCTCCTCCACAAGGGGTAATATATATATAGGAACCATTAATAGTAAAAGTCGAAATTAATTGTCTATAAAGAAACAAAAATATCAACAATAACCAATTAGATATAGAACAGACGGGATATGGCTTACAGTGGAATTCAGGACGAGCATTTCATCCTATTTGAGACTTGATCTTAATTGAATGTACCCGGATCCCATAGTTGATGTCCATTCCGGGATTCAAATGCACTGGCGTTTGAAACGAAAGGTACTATATTGACATCAACCCTAGAATGCATGTACATTCAGCTAGAAATGATTCCCAAACAGGACAAAACGTGCATCTTGCCACACTTCATCTATCTTTTATCAAATTACGTCATAATGGCTGTATCGAGGAAATCCGCACAAGACACCCATATCCCAACTAAGAATAACAAAATATCAGTCAAAAATATCAACAACAGGATCATTTAAACGATTTCAAATTGAATTAACAACCAATTAACATCTATCACAATTAAAACTTACATGTGAATCTGGTAAAATCCAATATCGATCACAAGATAACTGATCACATAATGTAGTTTGAAGTAGTTCTACAATCGTTCATTATTATTATTATTATTAGATAACCATGCAATTATAATCATTTTCCATGATATACGGGTATTAGAGGTATAATGATAAAAAATAATGAGAAAAGTATTCATCAAATCAAATAACACAATATGTGAATTGATCTAAGTTGTCATAATATATCATAACAGTAAGATAATATTCAGAGTGTCAGTGATAGTAAAAGTTACTGACAAAGATGATTGATACAATGGGTCAATTAAAACTCACTAAATGAAGTTATATTGTGCCAATCAAAAATTTAAATGCGTGTGTAATTGGCTGAGAAGCAGTTTCATTTTCTAAGGGGTATATACATATATATAATATTAAAGATTCCCATTGTGAAAATTAGAACAACACATATAAGCGAACAATTGTTTTCAATTAGATCGTCAGTATGAAAAATATGATCTCATTGGATGTAGAATCTTTGTTCACCAACGTACCACTTATAGAGACTATTGATTTTATATGCAAGCAAATATCAAAGAAACAAATCAACATTGGCCTGCCTAACGATAGCCTAAGGGAACTGCTCCTAAGATGCACTCTGAATGTACATTTTGTCTTCAACAATACTTACTATAGACAAATATACGGGATAGCCATGGGCTCGCCTCTGGGCCCGATTTTAGCTGACCTCTTCCTAGCAAAGCTAGAAAACGGACCTCTCAATGAGACTATTAAGAAACTGGATTTATATTGCCGATACATTGACGACACATTCATTATCGTAGACCAAAACACTAGTAAAGAGGAACTCCTAGACCAATTCAACAGTGTTCACCCAGCGATCACCTTCACTGGTGAAAGCGAGCATGATAAGAAGCTGAGCTTCCTTGACGTCACGCTAAGCAGACGAAGTGACGGCACATTAAGTAGAAGCGTGTATAGAAGAAACCCCTCTTCATGCCAATATACTCACTTCTGCAGTTTCACACCCATCCGGTACAAGAGAAATTTGGTCAGATGTCTCACGAGCAGAGCAAAAAAGATCTGTACAGTAGACACTCTAAGTCAGGAGCTTGAATTTCTCAACAACTCACTGACCGAGATAGGCTACCCCAGCGCGTTCATCAAGAAATACATGCAGGATATAATAAAGAAGTCGGAGATTTCGACTGTTCGTAAGAAACCTTTATACATGAAAGTGCAATTCAACGGGGATGTGGCTAGTGACACTCTGAAATATAGGTTAACCAAATTAATCACCAAGACATTCTACGCAGCCAATCTTGCGTTGACCTTCTCTTGTCGACCAGCGATGTCTACTCAAACGAAGGATAAGTTACCTGAGTTGGCCTCTTCCATGTGCATTTACAAATCCAGCTGCTCCTGTGGAGATAGCTATATAGGGCGTACTACCAGGCAACTTAACCAACGAATGAGTGAACATCTACCAACTTGCTATATAAAGGGTCAGAGAAAAACTATTCGCAGTTCTATACTAGCACATCTTATTGATAGCGGTCATGCAGTAGAGAAATCGAAATCATTTCGAGTTATCTATCGTATACCTTCATCATTTCCCGACGGAGTCCGTTCCCGTCTCCTATATATAGCTGAAGCCATTGGAATTCGTACATATAACCCCAATCTATGTGTACAGAAGAAATACGTGACTCCCCTATCCCTTCCATGGCCAGTTATAACTTAACTAACAATTTTTTATTTTTATTTTAAATTTTATTATTATCATTATTTATTTTATTCTATCTGTGTTATTGTTAACCTTATTTCCACATCCATTATTTGTTTGTCATTATCCGCCTCTTTTTATTCTTCACTATGTAATTATTTACACACATCTTATTACATAATGATTTCAATGTACTGGTGTTGACTATTCCTAGTCTATTTACCCATGTTTATTTGACCTTCTATTTCCAACGATTAACTATTGATAAGAGTTTTGTTATTGTAGTTTATTATTCTTACCACTATCTGTTCACCTGTCTTCGTACTATCAACTTGTACTTTTACCTATTTTATGTGTAGTGACTTATTCTATTTCATTGTGATTATTGACTCATATTGCCTTGATTGGTTTAAAATTTTCGTATAAATATTCATGTATATTAGAGTAAAGCCTGATGACGATCTAATTGAAAACAAAATTGTTCACTTATATGTGTTGTTCTAATATATATAATATGCATGTGATTTGATTTAGCCCAATAAACGTTTTCGTTCTGATAAATCTTCTAGTTGAACGCTTGAATCGATTCGCTAAGCTCTTCTAGCAACCTCTAAACTAAATCTACAACGGCAACTTGAACACGCGAGAAAAGGTGTGAAATATGTTAAGAGCGATTTACTCAGAGGTTATTTTATGTACAGGAAATCCAGGGTATTTATAACATTTCAGATGACCTTGGGCTTCTGGGAAGTTCCAGAACCCTTCTAAACATAGTACTGGGGAATGCGACACGTGACTTTTCACTTTCTAGATGTTTCTTACAAACGTCTATTGAATGCTGATTAGATAGGATGTTTCCAAGCGTTTTCAGGGCCGCTTTGAGGATTTTTTCGAGAAATTTTCCGTGTCTCCCCAACACTTCCACTACCAGTTTCCTCACTCAGTATCTGGTTAGCGGTTCGCACATAGTAAGTTTATGTACCAATATCAGCATGAGAAAAAGGAGTACAATAACGAACAGAAATTAGTTCATGATAGTGAAATAATAATAATGGGAGAGGTAGTGCAGTTAGCAAAAATACAACCAGAAAGGATTTTCCCAGTTAAATTTACGTCCACCTCTCCGCTTTTTCCAACCAGTCCCAGAGTCGGCAAATAATACACGACGTGGAATTTTCTAGAATGACATTCGTAAGAAATATCCAACCACTGAAGACGATGTTTCAAGATAGTAACACTAAGTGCATTATTGTTGCTGTACCCAAACTCTGCATTACTGACATGGTGTTGCCACTGAATGTCAGCAATCCTTCGGAGACAGCGATGACCAAACACAGAGAGTCTTCTAACATCCTCAACTCGGAGAGGCCAGGTTTCACAAGCAGAGAGCAGAACTGCTCTCACCGACACGTTGTAGATCCGACCTTTTACAGCCAGACTAACATAACGAAGGCGCCAAAGGTGGCCCAGATTGGCATAAGCCACTCTGGCTTTCACTATACGTGCATTAATCTCATCACTCACACCCCCACTAGCACTTATGCAGCTACCCAGATACACGAACTTCTCGACTACGTCTATTTGCTCACCATCCAGGGTGAGTACAGGATTGGAATCCTGCCAGTCTTGTAGAAGTACTTTGCACTTCGAAGGTGCAAAGCACATACCATACCTACGGACACTGATTGCCAACTGATTAAGTGCGGATTGCATGCCTTGGGCATTATCGCACAGTAAGACAATACCGTCCGCATACTCAAGGTCGAGAAGTTTTTCTCCAGGCAACAGATCCACACCACCATTACCTACATCCATCAGAGTTGTTTCCAGAATGTCATCGATGGCAAAGTTGAAGAGGAATGGTGAGATTGGGCAACCCTGCCTAACCCCACTACTCGAATGGAACAATGGAGGGAGGTGGTTGTATGCCCTCACTCTGCCTGAGGTGTTTGTATATAGGGCTTTTAGGATGTTAATAAACTTCTCAGGCACACCCTTCTTCAATAGACAATCCCAGGGAACAGTTCTGTCCAACGAATCGAAGGCAGCCCTGATGTCAAGAAACACTACGATTGTTGACCTTTGATAAGTATGGCGGTGTTCTAACATTTGGCGGAGGGTGAAGATATGATCAATACATCCTCGACCAGAACGAAACCCAGCCTGCTCCTCGCGAGTCAATCTTTCTCGGGTTTTGAACAACCTACGAAGTATGACGGAAGCCAATAGCTTGGACGCAATCGGAAGTAGACTTATCCCCCGATAGTTGTTACAGGAACGACGTGAACCCTTTTTAAAGATAGGGACAACTATCGACTCATTGCATGATGTTGGAACGCTCTCTAGCTCCCAAACCTTTGTAAACAACTTAGACAGTTCCTTAACAAGAAAGTCACTATCATCTTTAAAAAGGGTCGGAAATGAGTGATTTGTAGCACTTCAAGAGTTTGAGTTCCTTGCGGACTTCCGCCTTATTAGGCAGATCAGTCGTTACGGGTCATGAAGGATGATGCAGTTAAACAATAAACCAATCACCCATTAATGGGATAATTTGTGAGTCATGCGTATAACCTATACAGTTATAGAGTGATCTAGTATAATCAGGCTATCACGAAAAATCCCTCACTATATACAATTCAAGAGAAAAACTGGTGATATCAAGAAGCTAATGTGCTTTGGCGATCTAATAATCAATTGCATTTTGTATCAATATACTTCAGATAAAATTTAGTAATCTGGTGATATTTTTTTCTTTGATTCCTAAGTGTTTTATTTGTGGAGTTGTACCAAACCCCAAAAAAATCTTATTGAGTAAAAATGGACCTCCCCCCGTCTTCTCCTATGCACATACATGAACATGGATTAACAATATAATGATATGATACGCGACCATTGATATGAATACATGTAAAAAACACAGGAATCCGATTGGAAAAATGTTGGAATTGTGGATGAGAAGAACTGTAACAATGCCAGTAAATCTCTCGAGATATGGCATTCAAATCATAGATTTAATCTATCAATCAATATAAAAGAGATCAACTGCTAGTCAGAAGGTGGTGAAACTTATGAAGACAGCCAATCACAAAAAAGCCATTGTAACAAACTGATATAACACTTTTGGAATAACTGAAAGATTTGATTCTACATGATGTAGGCACTGATGTTGTCCGGAACAATAATAAGAGTTTCAAAATTGAACCATTTAAATCATAGAATATAATATTATTAAAAGCATCTATCTGAAAATGTAAATGTCTTTCATTTTGCGGAGAACTATTACAACCATCATCAAGAAGATACAAGTGTTTATAAATAGTTGTCTACGCAAGATATTCAACATTCATTGGCCGGATACCATCAGCAACAGCCTTCTGTAGGAGACAACAAACCAGTTTCCAGTTGCAGAAAAAAATAGGAAAAGACGATGGAAATGGATAGGACATACATTGAGGAAATCACCAAACTGCATCACTAGACAAGCGCTAACTTGGAATCCTGAAGAGAAGCGGAAAAGTGGAAGGCAAAAGAACACATCACGTCGGGAAATAGAATCAGATATGAAAAGGATGAATAACAACTGGAAAGAGTTAGAAAAGAATTGCCCAGGAAAGCGTTGGGTGGAGAGTGCTGGTGAGAGGCCTATGCTCCTTCACGAGGAGTAACAGGCTTAAGTAAGTAAGTTTACTGAAAGTTGAACATCCTTTGAAAAACATGAAACACTTGACAGTTATTTCATCCTAATATGGGAACACTTTAAAAATCCAGTGATCATGACTTCTCACTAAATTCACAAACTTACCTAATAGTACTCAATCTATGATCTAACTTGGATCCTCCTACAATATCGATACCATTATGTGATTTACTTTTAACATCAATAAATTTACAAAACTAGATGGATAGAAATAATAGTGTTTGTTTAAAGAAAAGAAAATTGAATTTATAACTTACGACGTATTTGTGTACTGCTACTGTCATTTCCAGATGGTGTACATTTATTCAAGATATCCTAGTTTATAAAAAAAAAATAGAAAATATGAATAAAGGAACAGAAAATATTGATAACAAGACTGTTTAGTGATTCTGTGGTGTATGCTGCTTATATCGACATAATTAGTATATGATGTTAGTCGTGAACAGAATGTCTGACAGCAGAGAGACAAGAGGATCGGACAGTGAAAAATGGAAACAGAATGCAATTTGTATGAAAATGCAAGAACAATGAAGTCTGAGTCATTTTGAGACAATCGATGGACGTTTTGTAAATTACGTATTGACTATTTGATTGTTAGATTTTATTAACAAGTTCTGTAATTTTGTGTAAAATACATTCAATTGTTCCCCATTGGCGTTCTGTTCACTACAATTCCATCTAAAGAAAACTCGAATTTACCGACGATAAAGATAGGAAACTCAACACAAAAGGTTCACTGTTGTTAATAAAAGCATTCCCCATAAAAATTTGGTATTCTGAGACAATTTCTGCTGAAACCCACTAAGACACTTTTTCAATATCCATCTAATATTTCATATCATAAGCTTAATAATTACACGTTTCATAACACACATTTTTGGATGAATTTTAGAAGATAATACATTGCCTTTACCCATCATGACTTATTTACCAGTTTACTTGCTACTATGAAGAAGTGTGTATTGACCAGACAAGTTTTGTGTTCTTTCACCTCAAAAATGATATCTTTTAACAGTCATAATATAAACTATCATATCTGCGTCATCTTAACAGTGCTGTAACACCGATTATTCATATATTTAGGTACAATGCTTCCTGCGAATAAAGTGTCTGCGATTCAATGTACGTTTTCAATAGAAAGCTATTGTTACTTATTTTTTTGCTTTAGTAATATAACCCATATCTGATTAAATAACTTTATGAAGCTCTCTTACTCCAAATCATGTATGTTGCTTACTTACGCCTGTTACTCCTCATCAGTCAGTAACAACGTAGAACTTCGTACGTACGCACATAAGCTCAAGTTGCCATAACCACATTAGCACAGAGAAACAACTGTCGATTCAAATCCCATAGTAGTAGAGGTAGTAAATGTATAAGCAGTAATCGGAAGGATGAGGGTTTGAAGATGTTATCCAAGGAGTATGATCCAGTAAAATAAATTTGCAAAGAGAAAAATAAGGAACATGAAGGTTTCAGGAGATTAGGATTTGGGAGAACACAAAGATTGGATGCACATGCGCCATTGCAAACGATTCTGAACCATGTCATTCAAGGTCTCTAACCATCGGTTCCTATCGTCTTGCGGATCCCAATCAGGCAGTCTACACCTACCAACATGAATCAGTCCACTTGCCAGTGACTTCATGGACTTGTGCCATGTTTTGTTCTGGCCGCACCTAGCTTTCTTCCAACCTACTCCTACACCATAAAACATGGCACGTCGGGGCAGTTGGTGGTTGGGCATACGTAACACGTGTCCCAGCCATCTCAACTGGTGAAGCTTTACTACTTCGTCAATTTATTTTCCACCCTCACCTAGTACCCGTTTCCAAACAACTGTATTACTTACTCGGTGGTCCCGGGATATACGAGCAATGGTTCAAATACACCTATGATCGAATACTAGTAACCTAAGAATATCCTCTACTCTTACCAGCCATGTTTCACTGCCATAAAGTAGGGCGGAACGAACTGCTGCGCAGTAAACCTGTCCTTTGGTTGGTAGACGGATATCTCGCCTACGCCCCTCATGGAGGAGCATAGGCTGCACACCAGCACTCTCTATCCAACTCTGTCCTGGGCAGTCCTTTCCAGTTACGATTCATTATTTTCATGTCTGCTTCCAAGCCCCGCCGTAGTGTGTTCTTCGGCATCCCTCTTTTCCCTCTTCCTTCGGGATTCCAAGTTAGCGTTCACCTCGTGATGCAGTTTGGTGATTTCCTCAATGTATGTCCTATCAACTTTCAACGTCTTTTCCTATTTTCCTCTTCAGCTGGAAGCTGGTTTGTCCTCTCTCATAGTAGGGTGTTTTTGATGATTTCGGGCCAACGGACATTGAGTGTCTTGCGTAGACAATTGTTTAGAAATACTTGTACCTTTTTGATGATGGTTGCGGTAGTTCTCTAAGTTTCAACTTCGTACAGTAAAACTGTCTTGATGTTCGTACTGAAGATTCTCACTTTGATATTAGTTGACGGTTGTTTTGAGTTCCATATGTTCTTCAACTGTGGGAATGCTAGCCTTGATTTGCCAATTCTTGCGTTTACGTTTCGATCCGATCATCCTTGTTCATCGATGATGCTTCCCAGGTACTTGAAAGATTCTACATCTTCTAAAGCTTCTGCATCAAGTATGATTGGGTTGGTGTTCTCCGTTTTCTCCCAAATTCTAATCTTCTGAATTCTTCATGTCTCGTTTTTTTCTTCTTCCAAATTTATTTCACTGGATTATACTCTTTAAACCCTAATGTTTTAGATTACTGTTTATACTATCACTACCTCTACCACTACGGGATTTGAATCGATAGTTGTATCTCTGTGCTAATATGGTATGGCAATTCGAACTGGTGTACGTACGTATGAAGTTCTACGATGTTACTGACTGATTGGTGTTCTCCGTGTTGTATTTGGGGATCTGGCTTTTTCCCTTGTGCATGTTGAGGCTTACTGATGAAGTGGCTGTTGCTACATTGGTTGTATTGACCTGCATTTGTTCGTGCGTATGGGAAATTTCCTGAGATAAACCAATAGCATATTTCACTTTTGAATATCAATAAACCCGACTCAGTCACTTAGTTACATACCAATCCAATAAATCAAGATCCTCATGCTCCCATACTATCATTCGCGCAAACGGTGGTTGAGGATACGTAATACACATCAAAAGGGGTTAGATTGAAACGAATTCACTACGTCATCAACCGATTTGGCATCTTTATCAAGTATTCTGTGTCCAAATTCAACACTGCTTACTCGGTGGCGCCAACGTACGCTAGTAATCCTTAGATAATTTTATGACTAAGTAAGAGTAGGCCATACATATCCCTTATTTTAAAGGTTACATTTGAGTATAACAGAACCAACTGTTCTGAAGTAAACTGGTCCTTCAGTTGAAAGACAGACATCTCCCATACGCCACAAATAATCCTAAGTTGGAATGAATGAAATATGTAAAGTGACATATTTTATATTCATCAGCAGCGGTATTTCGTTTTCTGGGAGGTAAAACCTGGTAATGAGGTACTGTTTGTTGCCAGGTAGAGTAACTGACTTTGTAGAAACACCAACACCACATAATTAGTGAAGGCCAACTGCTTGTAAATATCTCAATCTCAGTCGGTGACTAATCAAGTATGCATCAGTTTCTTAAAACGTTACCGTGTTCCGCCTTAAATACTACTACTCCATTAAATGCAATACACAAGTGGAGGGAAAGTGGTTTAACTGTGCAAGCTTTCAAATCTACACCACTCGACAAAAGGTTTGACGGAGGCCACTCTATCTCGGTCTAAACAGATGGGTAGTGGTAGTATTAGCATCCAAGCAAGTCCCGCTCAAAGTATAATGTACATGAGTTCCTAATTAGATACTTGTGTAAAAAAAAATACCTACTTCACATTGCTTTGAAATAGCTTCAAACGACTTTGGATCACATAATGCTTCATCCCAAAACACTTGATAACCATAATCAATATCTGGTTTTAGTACAGAACAACGAAGTAACGAACAATAGGACGATAAACAAATTGTACGACTGGTACTATAAGCATTTGTTTCATGTCTATTGCCAATATGTAAATCAAATGTATTTTCTGTGTAGAATCGTTTACCACACATTTGACATTCCCAATCATAATCAGAAATTTTATTTTTCATTTGTTCATGAATAGCATAAATATCATGTTTAGGATGAAAAGGGCATAGTTCGTTCATAGCAACACCTGTATATTTAAATAGTGGGAAAACAATCTTTTCTGTAATTAAATGAATATTTCAAAACTCAATGACTTACCTCATTTAAGATGGAACGTGCTAAACGACTTTGAGAAATGCTGCATTTGTCTAATATATTACTGTGTATTGTCGAAATCGAAATGATGATTAAACAACACGCAGATAATATCCGTGTTTTGGATAATGTACGACCAATAAAAATATCCATTGTAACGAAATTTAGAAATATCTGTCCTCAAGCATAGCACTGAGAATTGTAGCTAGAGGAAACAGATTGAATAAGTAAAACAAAAATTAGTTGTGTACATAATCAAAGGATCAACTCCAAAACCCTTGAAGAATCAAATATTGAACAACTAGAAGGCAGTCAGTCAGTCAGCTACAACGTAGGACCAGGCACATATATGCATCGGTCCAGGTTGCCATACCTCATTAGCACAGCAAGATGAACACCGGATTCATAGGAGTGGTTAGGTCAAAGGTGGTAATATATAGGAGAAAGATTGCATATAAGGATACAGTACAGGAAAAAAGAATTAATTTGTAGAAAGATATGAAATGATTTTAATCTCTTAGTTTAAGGGAAGACTGGGAGTTTATGCACCGACGCCAATGTGATCGATTCTGAGTCATGTCACCAAGAGTCTCCAACCATCAGTTACGAAAGTCACGCGGACCCCAACCAAGTAGTCTGCATCTACCAACATGGCTCAGTCATTGTAGATAACAGTAAACTTCGAAGCTTGATTATTCTCCCAGACCACTTCTGTAAAGTGAAACCACTTTCGGTGACTGATGTTGCTAAATAGTTATAATGTTGACAAAAACGGTAAGGGGTCATCTCCGATGATAGTTTAAAATCAGTTTTTGTTGAAAACAAAGACGATGATCGTTTGATGGCAGACAGTAAGGCTTCAATTCCTCGAGATTTATCACTAGCAAAATCCGTTGACTTTACTCCCATTCTCATCAAATGTAAAATTTAGTGTGGTGGATCTGTTAATAGCCCTTAACTCTGCGTACATTCGAGTGACTAAAATACTTAAATTTTTGTACCATTTACTTACATCCGCTATACTAGATAATAAAATTTTGGTCAGATTATATTACGACAATGTTTTTTTGAACTGATTCCTTATTTTCATAAATTCTAGCCAGCTTGACTGACTTTAATACCCACCTGGTAAAATAATAAACCCGTTAATATGCTACAGAGAAGCCTATTAAGTATGAGTTCCATCCAATATTTTTAATGTCGCTCATGTACACGGAAAATAACCCTGGGGAACAGCTACTTGAGAACTGAAGTTGACAAAATGAACTTTTGAGTACTTGGTACTTTTGTACACAACTCAAACACTCGTGTACACTATAGGTATAATTACAATTCCTTAATATTTGTCTATAATCTAATTTTTGCTTGAACTTTTTTCCAGACAAACCCCGAAGGCTTAAACGAAGCTTCCTTCAACAGACTAAAACTAAGTCATATCTATTGATCAGACCTTCATGCCGAAGGCTCCGGGTGTGGCCCCCTAAGAAAACCACCTGCTTCGGTTTGGGCACCCGGGCAGTACCACAGCCCTCACACATATCAAATGAGATTAGTGTGGCGTATATGTGTTTGGTGCCTTCTTGTACCAATGTCTATGTTTTAAAATAAATAAATAAATAAAATAAATCCCTTTATTTATTATACTTCCCGATAATGGATCCGTGGTAGTATTAGCATTTTTGCTGAAGAAGTGACTGTAACTGTCGCAGTGATTCGAAACTTAACTATCAGGAATCAAATGATCGTGGTGGCCAAGCTACCAATCTCCTTGTAAGAAATGAATATATTTGACTAGCAAGTGACTAATAATTCACGTACGAAACTACTGCGAGGTACTTGTACGTAATCTAAGTATTTAGAGGAACTTAAGAGCATAAGGTCGTGGTATGTCGTTAGTCGCAAAAATACCAAGCAACTGCTCGCGATATGCTTACACAAGATGTCCTGCTAAATAATAGTTCAAGGGTCTGTACCTCTATTTTCTAATATTTACGACCTCTAGTACACGGGAAAATTCATTATTGGTTGCTTAGTTAGGCAATAAATCCTAAGATTTATAGACATGGCTATCGTAGCCGTATACCACAGTATATACCACAGAGAGTGAGATTGTGGCACAATCAGAAAGCGTACGCTACCACAAAACGTGTTTGCAGGACAACACGGGATAACATACGTCCGTAATGAGGAACTCGATTAGTTGGCTGGAATTGCTGTTTGACTAAATGTCCCGATGAGGTGTATCCTAAGCTCCCAACTTTGGGGAAATTTGGGGTTTTTGTGCCTTTTCCCCAAAATTGGGAGCTCGGGTATGTATCTTCCCAGATCATTTAGCTTTTAACTAACTACAAATGCCTAATTTAAAGTATTGATTCAACAAACTAGTCAGTCAATAATCCCAAATGACATGTCGTCCCTTTCATATCGTCTTACGTTCATACATACCGCTAATTCAGAAATACAAATCTGTTTCTTGGTTTTACACACATTTGTGATCTCAAGGTCCAAATGGTTCAAATGGTTCAAATGGTTGTGGACGGAATAGAAGAAGCTTTCGCTTAACAGGCTTCCGTGTCTAGTAGCAGGGGATCACCAAATCCTCCAGGCAGGAACCTAGGTATGTTAACAATAAAAGAGGAAAAGAAATTGGTAAATCATAGTGCGATGCTGTCCTTGGTCCTTAAGAATAGGTCAAGTTGCCTCTTGAAGGACTCCTGAGAAGTCGCTTGGACTAGCTCGGCCGGCAGCGAGTTCCAGCTTTTGACAACTCTTAAGGAGTAGAAGTTGTGTCTACATTCCGTCTTGCTATGTTGTGTTTCCAGTTTCTGGGTGTTACCCCTTAGGTTATTGTTCGAACTAAGCTTAAGTAGGTGTTTAAGAGGATGTCCAGAAGTGTTAAGAATACTATAAGCCATTAATAAATCACCTCTAAGACGCCTATATTCTAGTGGGTAAAGGTCTAGTGAACGGAGGCGTTCTTCGTAAGGCTTAGATTTGAGTCCTCGAACTGATTTCGTGGCTCGCCGTTGGATACGCTCCAAAGTGACCTTATCCTTTTGGAGTGAGGGGGGGAGTACTATGTTTCCGTACTCTAAATGGGGACGGATGAAACTATTGAAGATTGTGTGGAAAGTTCTTCCGTCAAACTGACCAAAAATGCGCCTCAACGTTACCAGTGCAAGGTTTGCTCGGAAGGCATTTTTGTCACAATTAGCGTAAGACTTTAAGTCATGGGGCACCAGGACTCCTAAATCTTTTTCGACTTGGGATACTACTAGAGAGGAGTTTCCTAAGTTGTAACTGTAGTTTGCGACATGTCGCAGATGGACTACTTTACACTTAGAAGTGTTAAAGGTAAGTCCGTTATCGTCTGCCCAACTTTGAAGTCGAGTCAGATCCTCTTGAAGTGCCTGTATATCGTCTTGGTTGCGTATCTCTCTCCAAAGTTTCACGTCGTCGGCAAAAAGTAATAAGTCTGACGTTACCTGTTGAGGAAGATCGTTTATGTAGATCAAGAAGAGAAGAGGCCCTAGTACTGAGCCCTGGGGGACCCCACTAGGACATTCCATAGCTTGAGATAAAGTGAAATTAACCCTAACCTTAAAGTGTCGATTTTTTAGGTATGAAGTAAGCCAGTCGATTAGAGGTGGTTTGATACCTAGTCGTTTGAGCTTGTTGATAAGACACAAGTGGTTAACCTTATCAAAAGCTTTTGAGAAATCAAGGTAAATGACATCAACCTTTCCCTTGCGATCGAGGATGCTTGTCCATCTGTCCACCGCAGTCAGCAGGTTGGTTATACAAGAGTAACCCTTCCTGAAACCATGCTGTTGGGGTGAGAAGAAATTTAAGGACAGTAGGTAGTCATTTAAACCGTCGCATATCAGGGACTCCATGAGTTTTGAAGGTAACGACAGAAGAGCTACCGGCCGGTAACTTGAAGGTTCATTGCGTCGACCACCTTTGAAAATTGGTGTGATGTGAGCCAACTTCCAATTTTCCGGTAGTTTGCCTCGGCTAAGCGAGTGTGAAAACATCACGCTAAGCGGCGTTGCCAGGATTGAGGCTGCCTCCCTCAGTATGGCAGGATGAACCATATCCGGGCCAGGAGAAGTGTCAAGTCTTAAGTGCTGCAGTTTCCGGAACACCAAGTCAGCGCTTAGGTCCACTTCAGAAAGTCCTGTGGAATTGCAGATGAAACTGTCATGAGTAAAGTTGATATCAGCCGGTTGAAATGTTTGAGAGTAATGGGCCGCCAGAAGGTTAGCGGCGTCGCCATCGTTGTTGGTCGGGCCGTTAGGACCTAGCAGTTGAGAAACTCCTGTTTTGGCTTGACGAAGAGAGGCTGCGTAACGGAATAGGCTTCTAGGGTTAGAGGCGAATTTGTCCATAAGCTTTGTTTGGTACTGAAGCCTGTCTTCTCTTATAGCCTTCGTGCATGTGTTCCTGATATGTTTATATTGCCTATACGCTCCATCGTTATTAGTTCGTTTGTATTCCGCCCAACAGTGCCGTTTGCGGCTTAGGAGGCGAAGGGTACGGTTCTTGATTACTGTAGGTGGCTTGAAGCTTTTGGGAACCGTTTGAGGAACTGAATGGTCTGTAGCACATAAGAGCGTGTGCAGCAAGAAGTCCCAATGACCATCCACATCGATTTGAGGGTGAACATCCCAAACCACCTGTTGTAGATGGTCATGTAGAGCTCGCACATTCAGCCGTTTAAAATTCCAACGCAAATTATTGTTGGGATACCTTAGCTTAGTTTTGATGACAAAACTGAAGGCTATGACGGCATGATCGCTCTTTCCCAGAGGAGCCAGGATTGAGAGGTTGTCGACTAGGAATTCTTCGTTAGTGAATACACAGTCTAAGCGCGATGGTGTCTGACTGTATCTCCAACGAGTTGCCGACCTCACATTTTCATATAAGCCCAAGTTATCGATGAGATTGAAGAACCGAGCTTCAGTTGAGTTGTCGCCTCCAGTGTACATGTGCTCCGCGAAGTTGACTCTAGGGAGATTAAAGTCCCCTAGAATCAGGATGTGTGTGAAACCGAGACGGATAGAGCGGGATAGTCCTTCCAGCATACGACTATCGTACTCGGTGTCGGCAGTTGGCTTCCTGTAAATGACTCCGACTAGACACCTGGAAGTACTAGACAATCTTACAGAGCACCATATGGATTCCTCAAGATTGTTAAACTCGAGGTTGTGAACTTGGTGCACCTCCAAGCAAGAGCTTATGTATATGGCTACTCCAGCCCCAATTCCTGTTTTCCTGTTGTTGCGGAACAAAGTCATCCCAGGTAATGCTAACTCTTGGTCCGAGAACTGAGAAGATATCCAGGCTTCAGATATTCCTATCAGATGGACCTTATTAGCGTTGCTAAGTTCACGTAGTTCGTCCAGTTTGTTTGGTAGACTCGCGGCGTTCATATATAAGCAGTTTATGCTTTCAATTTGGAACGCATGAGCTTCGTCCTGTTTTTCTGTATGAACCTTATGTGAATGGACAGGTAGCCCACCTATATGAGGTTTGCCGAGGTGGTAGGCCCTGTCCTTTACACGTTTTTTTTATCGTTTAGACAGTCCACAAGTGGAAAGATCAGCTCCAACTTGCCTTTGTTCTTGGTCCTGACTTCGTATGGCCTATCCGGGTGCATGTGGATTCCAGGTGGCAATCGACGTCTATTAGCACGAAATGCTTCCAGAACTGCAGCCGCCATGTGGGAAGATGGGAAGGTTATCTTCATTAGACGGGGTCTAAGATCACTGTCCTTCTTGGCTAGTCTCGTCACATGCTGAGTCAGTATGTGTTTGAGCCTCAAGGACTGTTTGATGAATTTCCATTCCCTGATGTCAGAATTTGATTGAGTAGGGTCTGCATTTTCCGGTATACCTTGGACAATTATGTTTCTTCCGCGGAAAAACTTCTCGCGAGATTCTTTAGGGACGTTTCGTATGATATTGCGCTCAGAGTACGGTATGTCGGGCAATATTCTTACGTTACCATCTGATTTCAGTAAGTGACTTGCTAGCAAGACGTCCTCAACGTCGGTAGCATACTTAAGTGTTACTCGGAGAAGCCTCGAGTGATTTAGATGCTTAGAATCCTTTCCTCGAGTGAGCCGGGTGACCGTCAAAGGCTCTATTCTAGGAAGTTCGAGCTTCTTGTTCAATTCACCCCACAGCATCCTGTCGTTTTTGTCCTGCAGACTTAGAGGAAGGTCAGGATTGTCGACGAGGTTCATGATAATGAGAGAATCGTCACGAACTGTTGTTAATTTACCAGGTTTCACGATGGGTTCAGGTTTAATAACTTGTTTTTTGGAGGTCAGTGTGCGTTTATGAATCTTGGGCTCTTTATTGACCGGACGAACAGTCTTGGGGGTAGACTGTGCGACTAAATCACCAGTTATTTTCCGTGCAGCAACACTTGGGTTGCTCGGCTTAGGCGGTGATGCCTGGTTCTTTTGGGCTCTCTTAACGTGGGTCGAATCGCCTGCAGGGTTTTTGGGAACCACTGTTGTGTTCAGCGACCCTGAGCTGGGAGACCCGAGTTTGCCTAGGGAGTCTAGTACCGTCGACGTAATGATGGTACTGAGCCTCGACACGTCGTCGTTAGTGTTGATGGATGCTCCATCGATGACATACCTATCGACATCCCTATTTTTGAGTCCGTTGCGCGCTCTTGTTTGTATATCGGTTTTTTTACTGTCGTATTCCAAATTAACTGACAGCTTGTTTCGAAGACCTGTCAGTAGGACAATGATGTTACTCAGCAAGACTACTGCGTCCGTGTTGCACGTGACACATACCCACTTTTGGTCTGACTTGCTGAGTCTGTTGTAAGCAGTTGCTGTCAGATTTGTGCATGCTTCGTGAAACCAACCTTTGCAGTTGTCACACTGCATGCCAGTTGTGACAGCAAAACGGCATCCCGGACGTTTGCATGAGTTTTTCATGACGGTGTTGAAGCAAACTATGTTATAGATGCTGGCAAAAGCTTAAGACCTTTTTAAAAAAAACACTAAAATGCACACTGAAAAAGGACAAAAACGGACAAAACGAGTGATATAAACTGAAACTAGTCTATACGTGAAAAACAAAAAAAACCGAATAGTAAGCTGAGGCAAAACCACAGGTAACTATTAAATATAGTGAAACTCAAAAAAAAAGTAATCTACCGAACGTATAGCTCAGGATAGATTTTTTAGAACTGAAATGGTACTTTTGTTGCGTAAGAACACAGCAAAAGTTTGATATATGCAAATCACGTTAGGACTAAACTTCCCGTTCGAAAATCGCGCGTGGTCGAATGTTATAGATGAACTTTGGGACTTACGGCACAATGAACTAAAACGTTTCTGACAAAAAAAGTACCTTAACAAGCTAATTTTTTTTAGTCATGTGAGTATATTTTACTGTCTGGTTCTATCTTTTTCTTGAAACCATTAAGCAATGTGCTTTACACTTGTTTAGGTATTATAATTATAACCTCGA